AACCCATTAGAACGCCACTGCACTGCAGTGCATAGACAACGATTGAAATTCATTCAATTGCACAAACGGATCTAGAAAAATCGTGATAAGATTCTTCACTCTTTGCAACCAACACGTTTTTCTGCTTTTTCGCAGTTTGAGAGCAAAGTTGTGTCGAGCCCTCCGGGCACGACACTGTTAAGAGCGCTAAAATCTGCACTATTTCTGGTCAAAAAGTGTGTTGTTCGCTTCTACTTCAAAGTTTAAGGACAAAGTTGAACCGATCGCCCTAAGCATTCAACGTTAAAGAAGGACAAAGTCTCGTTCTGTTCTGTTCTGAGTAGGCCTGGGTAACACTGTGTTGAGTAGCGCTTTTGAGTTGGTGCCGCCCTTTGAGTTAATGAGTTACAACTCATTTATTTAAGCGGATTAAAGCTTGATGAGACCCGAAACTGGAATTTTAACATGTAAAAAATACACCTTTTAATGGCAACGAATGCGAGCGTGCGAAGCAAACAGAAGCGAACAGAAACGATCACAAAACCCATTAGAACGCCACTGCACTGCAGTGCATAGACAACGATTGAAATTCATTCAATTGCACAAACGGATCTAGAAAAATCGTGATAAGATTTTGACGTTTGCAACTTTAATCGCGAAAACATCCAAAATTGGCCACTTTGTCGATCGAATCACTATCAATGATGCAACAAAACCATCAATCAAACCACTTGACGACAATCTAAAGTGCGCTTCTCTGATTGTTGGGCGATCAGTGCCACTAGAGATTTTGGAAATTTTCACAAAAAAGTGGAAAAAAATCACCAACAAATGATGCGCTGCATTCTACGCCACTGCGGATCAAGGCTGATATGAAGCACCTTAAAAGTAGCTGTGATATCATTGGATGGCCCAGTTGTGAAATGGTTTTGAAGATGAAAACTGCATTGTTTCTAGTGCTGGCAGCAGCTGCAGCTGCTGCAGCTGAAGTACAGCTGCGTCCAGGCATCACGCCATTCCAGCTGCCAGCTGTTGCATCAGAACTGTTGCAAACCGAAGTTCTAGAGTGAGTAGAATCAGTTTGCAAGTGTGGGTTTTCTGGAAAATGCGATTTCAGGGCCAGTTTCATCCAGGCCGATGTCACAAAGTATGCCTATGAAATAGTGGAAAAGATCCAAGAGCTGATCATCCAACAGGGTTTCGATCCCATGGCGTTGTCTGATGAGGAAATCGAAGTAAGGCGCAGATTTTCGTTGTTTAAAGCGTTAAATACTGGGGGTTTTAGCTGCCTCTGACCACACTGAACCTCACTAATGGTTGGGTGGTGGATCTTTCCACTCTGAATGTTTCCGACTCAGTAATAGTCAAGTATTCAACTGAGACCAAGGTGTTGGAGCTCACCATTCCTCTGGCTTTCCATGAGCTGTTGGTAGGTAGCAACTGAAGCAGGCAGCTTCTAAAACTGTTGGGAAATTGGCAATTTTTCCAGATTTCCTACGACTACCACTTTGTCCAGCTGTTGGTCAGCGTCAAAGGAGCCATCAATGCGAAGATATCCAACTTCAAGCTAAACCTTCATCTTGGCTTCAACTTCAGCGACTATCACGCGTTTGTTGATAAGGCAGATGTGCGCGACACTGGGTATGAACTAGAAGCGTCTAGACGCTGAAGACATTAAGGGTTTGGTTTGCTTCTAGATCGATCACGATCGAGTTCACTGGTTTGGGGCTTTTGGATTGGATTATCGACCTTCTGACCGACTGGGGGATCGTTTTCCTGCACGGAATTATCCTGAGCATCGTGGATTTGATCATCCAGCAGCCCGTGGAAGGTTTTGTTTCCGACATTAATGCTTTGATTGATAGCATGTTGCATCCCAACTCCACTTTGGCTGGAAGTTTCTATGGTTGATTATTAAATTGAACCGTTGCTGAAGTTGTTGTTTGTTGTGG